TGATGCGGCTGTAAGAAAGAAGGATCGCTTACCCTTTGAGACAGCATGGATGGACCTGGAGATTATGATGCTAAGCAAAATAAGCCAGGCAGAGCAAGCAAATATCACATGATCTCATGTATATGTGGAATTTAATGAACAAAATAAACTGGTGAACAAAATAGGTCCAGAGGCATGGAAGCATGGAACAAACTGACAGATCTCAGAGTGGTGAAGGGTGAAGGGTGGGGGCGACGGGAAGAGATTAACTAAAGAACATACATACATATATGCATAGTTTATGGACACAGACAATAGTGTGGAGTGAGGTTAGGGAGGACAAAAGGGTGGGGATATGGGGGACTGCTGTAATATTGTCAACAATAAATAAAAAAAGAAAGAAAAGGAAAGACATTTCATGTTCATGGAACTCAATATTGTTAAGATTTCAGTTCTCTCTAAATTGATTTATAAATTCAATGCAATATGATTCAAAATTCCAGCAGGATTATTTTGCATGTGGAAACTGACAAGCTGATTCTCAAATTTACAAAACAAACAACAACAACAAAAGAAATAGAAAAAATGCGAAGGACAGCTAAGATAATTTTGAAGAACAAAGAAGACTTATACTACAAAATAGAAACACTTATTGTAAAGCCACAGTGATAAAAAATAGTGCATTATTGGCATAAGGATAGACAAAGAGACTAACGGAACATAATAATCAATTTAGAAACAGACCAACACACATACAGTCACATGATTTACAACAAAGACATCACTGCCACTCTGTGGGAAAAGATAGGTCTTTTGAATAATAATGTAGAAACAGAAAAAAAGAGAATCTTAACCTTTTCCTTATACCAGTCAGTTTGAGGTGGATCACAAATATAAGCAAGATAGGTAAAATAATAAAGCTTCCAGAAAAATAAATGAGACTATCTCCAGGACATTGAAGTAGTTAAAAGATTTCTTAAATGGGAGACAAAAGCATTATCCACATAAGAAATATACTGTTAGATCAGACTTTATTAAAATTAAGAATAACCATTTAACTAAAGGCATCATTTAAAAAGTGAAAAAGCAAGTCAGAGATTGAGAAAAATTACTTGTAATACATAAATATGACTAAGGACTCATATCCAGAATATATGAAGAATTTCTACCAAGCAATAAGAAAAAAGGCAACTAATTTTTTTAAAATTGGCAAAAGCTGTCCTGGCCGGGTGGCTCAGTTGGTTAGAGCATCATCCTGTACACCAAAAGGTTGGAGGATTTGATCCCCAGTTGGGGTGCATAAAGGAGGCAACTGATAGATGTCTCTCTCTCACATCGATGTTTCTCTCTCCCTTCCTTCCTTTCTCTCTAAAATTAATAAAAACATATCCTCAGGTGAGGATTTAAAAAAAAAGGCAAGACCTTAAATAGGCACTTTGCCAAGAAGATACCCAAATGGGCAATAAATATATGAAAATGTATTCAGGATCATTATTCATTAGGGAAATGTAAAAACATGAGATACTACTACATACCCAACAGAAAGGCAACCATTTAAATGACTAAAATTATCCAGTGTGGAGAGAAGAGTTAACACTGCAGGCCTTAGACTGCTATCCTCAGGAAGCCTGTTTGCAAAGCTGGCCTCTGGCTGGCATCTGGAAACTTGGATTCTGGTAGTGTCCCCACCATACTCAGAACTGATTAAAATGGCTCACTGTGCCTAAAGTATTTGTGCAAACAATATGGTGTATGCTACATACCTGCTTTCCTTCTGGGAGTCTGGAATTTTGGTACGTGCTAGGCAGAGATTGCCTACACATAGAGCTTGGGTGCCAGGCCTCAATAAAAGCCCTGAGCACTGAGCCTCTAACAAGTTTCCCTGGTAGACAACATTTTACATGTTGTCACAATTCGCTGTTGGAGGAATTAAGTGCATCCTGTGTGACTACACTGAGAGAGGACTCTTGGAAGCTTGTGCTTGATTTCCTCTGAACTTTGTCCCATGTGCCATTTCCTTTTGCAATTTTGCTTTATATCCTTTTGCTGCAATAAATCATAGCCATGAGCATGTCTATATGATGAGTCCCGGAGTCGTGGCAAATCATCAACCTGGGAGTGGTGTTGGGGACCCCTGACACACCAAATGTCGGGGATTATGTGGAATAAACTAAAAGTATTATACATTGTTGAAGAGAGTATAAGTTAGTTCAAACACTTTGGGAGACTGTTTAGTAATATCTACTAAAGCTAAAACATATTTCTACCATATAATTCAACAATTTTACTCTTAGAAATATCTCCTAAAGAAAGTAAGTGCCTATGTTCACCATATGAGAATATTCATCCTATATAATAAAAGGCTAATATGCAAATTATCCCCTCGACCTGGGAGTTAGACTGGGAGTTTGACCAGGGAGTGGGCCGGCCAGCCAACGGTCCGCAGCCCCTCCCCCTGGCCAGCCCTCTCGATCTGCCGATCGGGGCGGGGCAGCCTGACCCCACCCATGTACGAATTCATGCACTGGGCCTCTAGTTTATTTATAATAGCTCAAATGGTAAATAACTCTAATTCTATCAATAAGTGAATGGATAAGCAAATTATGGCATATTCATAAAATACTACAAAGTAATAAACACACATACAAACCAATACATGCCACAACATGGATGAATCTCATAGATGGTAATTAAATTAAAAAAGCTCAGCCGAAACCGGTTTGGCTGGGTGGATTGAGCGTTGGCCTGCGGACTGGGGGGTCCCGGGTTCGATTCCGGTCAAGGGCATGTACCTGGGTTGTGGGCGCATCCCCAGTGGGAGATGTGCGAGAGGCAGCTGATCGATGTTTCTGGCTCTCTGTCTCTCTCCCTTCCTCTCTGTGGGGGATCAGTGAAATATATTTAAAAAAAAAAAAGAAAAAAAAAAGCTCAACACAGAAGTACACAATGTATGATTCCATTTACATATGAAAAAGTGATATAAGCAAAGTATGATTCTATTTATGAGGTTCAAAAACTAATAAAGCTAACCTATATTGATAAAAATTAGAGAAAGAGTTACCTGAAGAGTAGTACTGGGCTATGCTATCCAATACATCTTGCTATAAAAATTTAAATAAAATAAAGCAAAAAATTCAGTTCCTCATGTGCATTAGCCAAATTTCAAGCACTCAATAGCCATATATGGACAATGGCTACTACGGACAGCAGAGATAGAAAATGTACACTTTCATCTTCATCGCAAGTTTTATTAATCAGCACTTTTCTAGCATGATGGGAATTTTCTGTATTTTGATCTAGGTGGTAGTTACATGGGTTTTTAAATATGAAATAACTCACCAGCTGTATACTTAAGATTTATATACTTTATATATTAGTTTATAATTCAGTAAGTAAATAAATAAATATACATTTTTAAATGACTAGGAGAAAACATACAGTATTAATATCTAAACTATGAGGGACTCATAAATCAGTAAGAACAAGATAGCAACTTAAAAATGGTAGGCAAGTAAACATATTAAAAGATGTCCAATAAACATACTAAAAGATGCTTAGATTCATCAAAAACCAGGGAAATACAATATAAAACACTGAGATACTACTTTTGCCTATTGTATGGGCAAAATTTTGGGTGTATCAGTTATTTAAGTAAAATATGAATATAAGTAATTCAAGGACAAGAACCTTACTGTCTAGTTTGCTACCAAATTCCTTAAGTCTAGAACAGTGGTTGGCATACAGTAGGTACTCAATACATAATTATGAGTGGAATAAAGTGAGAAAGGAAAGTTGGAGAGGAAATTATATTCCCTTACTCCTATATTTACTATTGATGGGAGTGTAAAATAGAGGAAGCCTTTTTGAAGAGGAATTTTATAACATATAATTGCTGTTTATCTAGCAATTCAATTTCTCAATTTCTTCCCCAGGGAAACACTCATATGTAAACACAAAAAACTATAAGAATTTATAATGTAACACTGTAATAGCAAAAACTTGCAAATAACATATATTGTGCATTAAGAGAAAAATGGCTAAATAAACTGTGGTTCTCCCATGCCATATAATATTATATAGCAACTAAAAAAAAAAAAACACACCAAAGAAACAAAATAGATTTACATGTAATGACATAGAAAGACCTTCATATCAGGTTAAACAAAAAGTTATACACTAATGCACACATTTAAAAACAAAAATATCCACAAAATTATGTCCACTGTGCACACACATATGTCTATCAATGCATAGACTAAGAGGAGAAATTTATAACCCAAACTAGTAATAGTGGTTACTTCTAGGAATAAGAGTTGAATTATGGGTGGTGGCTTTCACATTTTCTAAATTGAGTTTCCCACAATAAAACATATTCAGATATTACTCATGTAAAAATAACCCAACAGCCTGGCCAATGTGGCTTAGTTGGTTGAGTGTTGTCCCCTGCACTAAAAGGTCGCTGGTTCAATTCTGGTCAGGGCACATACCCAGGCGAGGATTTGATCCCTGGTCGGGGTATATGTGGGAGGCAATCAATCAATGTTTCTCTTTCACATCAATGTTTCTCTCTCTCTCTCCCTAAAACAGAAATCAATAAAAAGATAGTTTAAAACCACCACCCAACAAAAACTATTATTCTTCCTTAGATGTTGAGTTGTTGCTGTTCTACTTACTAATGGTGTAAAATGATCTCAAATTAAAGGATTCCTACTTTTCTTTCCCCTCCATATTTTTGGATTTTTTTTTAAACACCCAAGTACTTACTACTCAGTTTAAGAAATAATATATCACCTTCTACATAATGAGCTACTATCTACTTAAATTTCAAAACATTTCTCAATTTGAGAAATGGTAGACCTAAAAGCTCCAATAGTTTATTATTTAGATTTCACATCTTAGGTCTCTGAACATAGACTGTTTAAAGAATTGCCCCTATCCAAAGCAACTGTCTACTAGAATGAAGTTTTATAAACAACATATTTTTTAAAAATTAGAACTTAACGTGCCAGTGCATGCCCTACCTGGGTTACTGGAATGTAGAGAGGCTCTCCATTATGCAGCAGTGTAAGTTTCCCATGCTGATTGAGTCGTCCTTCTGGCTTTAAATTTGCCATCTCCTTAAGTCCTCCTTTTTTGCCACTCTCTTGTCCATTTCCCTTAAATTCTTCAGTATCACTTAGGCATTCAAAAAATTCTTCTTCGCTATCACTCCAAGAATCCCAAGATTTTCCCACCTCTCCCTTTTCCTTGTCCATATCTTTTAGATTGTCTGGCCCCAGCTGGTCTCCAGGTCTTCCAGCATCCCCTGGATATGTATTAGTCACATTATCTGAAATACTTGTCTTTCTCTTCTCATCACGTGCCTTCTTTCTTTCAATACAACAATTTAACATCTTAAGAAAACAGAAATATATATATTTGAATTCATTACAGTAAAATAAAAATCAATCCACTGCTTGAATATTTAATTTTCATTCTCCACCCTTCCCCTACACCTTGTTGTGAATGACAGTGATTTTAAGTAACCTACAGCAGCACAAAAAGAATGGCCTATAATCCATACTTAAATTTAGCATCAGAAATAAGCTCCAACTGACTCAAGATCACATTAAATACTGTCACTGAAAAATCTTTACCTGTAGTTTCTGATGTAATAAACAGCATCTTAGATCTGGGGCGCCACTTGCTAATCTATCAAATAAAGCAGTGGGAAAAGAAAGATTAGTTTTAGTAAAATTGCTTCAGATATGCATAGTTTTTATACTACCACAAATTTTAGCCATATTGATAAGAAATTAAAACTAGAAACAGAGACAGGGCAAATAAGATTAAAAGATCAGAATTTATTTTATCCTCCTAGTACACAAATCACCAATAGCAAGTATAACAGATATTTCAAAGCTTAAGAGTAAAGTAGTGATAGCACTCAAGCTAATAGAAACTTAAAATAAAAAGTCTCTAAATCCGCCCCAGGTAGTAGCTGGCATACAGTATTTCACACCATACAAAATAGATTAGACTATCTTTTTTAGTTCTCTATTACTATAGTGAATTCTTAATATAAAAACCATCAGTCTCCACTTCTTTTTGCCTGGAGTGCCTCTAATTCTAAACTACTAAGTTCCCAGTAATCAGCTAACCAGAAACTGGCAAATGACACAAGAGTAAACATTTTTGGATTAGTTACCATTTTATATAACTCATATCATAAGTCTCCTCCCTTAGGAAGGGTAGATGCGCAGTAATCAACATTTATGCTAACTAAACTCTCCTATGTGACTAAGTGAAATGTAAACATAAACTATACACACACAAAAATTCACAGGTAATGTTTAATATCTGAACTTATGAGCTCTAGAGATGTTTTCCCTCCAACTATAAAAAACATATGTTTACTACATGTAATTTAGAAAATGCACAAATGTAGAAAAAACAAAATAAAAATATGATTTCACACCTGGGGAAACGACTGTTGACATTTGGCTGTATTTCCTTCCATTTAGTTTGCTGTACAATCCTATATAATAAAAGCCTAGGTGGCGTCATGCCCTTGAGCCACACTCTCGCATGACGTCATCACAAGATAGCCGCCACAAAATGCCTGCCACAAGATGGCCGGCAGGGGAGGGCAGTTGGGGGTGATCAGGCCGGCAGGGGAGAGCAGTGGGAAGCAACCAGGCCTGCAGGGGAGGGCAGTTGGGTGTGACCAGGCTGGCAGGGGAGGGCAGTTGGAGGTGAACAGGCCTGCAGGGGAGGGCAGTTAGGGCGATCAGGCTGGCAGGGGAGGGCAGTTGGGGGCTACCAGACCAGCAAGGGAGGGCAGTTGGGGGCAACCAGGCCTGCAGGGGAGGGCAGTTGGGGGCGAGACCAGGCCGGCAGGGGAGGGCAGTTGGGGGCGAGACCAGGCTGGAAGGGGAGGGCAGTTGGGGGTGATCGGGCCGGCAGGGGAGGGCAGTGGGGGCGACTGGGCTGGCAGGGGAGCAGTTAGGCATCAATCAGGCTGGCAGGCAGAAGGGGTTAGGGGCAATCAGGTTGGCAGGCAGGCAAGCGGTTAGGAGCCAGCAGTCCCGGATTGTGAGAGGGATGTCCCAGATTGGAGAGGGTGCAGGCCAGGCTGAGGGATATCCCCCACCCCTATGCAAGAATTTCGTGCACCGGGCCTCTAATAGTACATATACATCAGCATAATTGAAAATGCTCAGTATATGCAATACTATATTCTATTTTACTACAAATATTAGGATCATTTTCAATGCTATTAGATATTCTTGGGGAAAAACTTATAATGGATCTATAACTTTCCATTGTAGAGATATATAATCATTTATTTGGCCATTCTTTTATATTTGGCACTTAGGTTGTTTCAACCTTTTTCTCCCCTATTATAAATTTAATGCAGTCAACACCACTGAACATAAATCACGTCCAAAGTTTCTTACCATTTTCTTAGGGCAGAATTCCTAGATGAGAATTTATTCAAAAGTCAAATGCTGCCAACAAACAAAAAATCCTGTCTATACAACTAGATATTGAAATTATTACCCTGGAATCAGAAAGTCGTTTTCCCATCTGAAACGCATTTCAAGGACAAATTCCTGCCAGAGGTGTGCCACTCCTTTCAATCCTCCGTGGTAGAAATTGATCATACAAAGACACAAAGCCAATTTGTATGTTAAACTGTCAGATGGTGCAGATTTGAACTGATTGTAGAGATTCTAAATTTAACAGAATAGAAACAAAGCAAAACTTGTTAACATATTTATATGCATATTCAAAAACTGAGTGGGTGAAGATTTTAATACTAAAATTAATCTATCCTAGCAAAACTAGTTTTTATCAATGTTTAATACATTATTGCCTAAATTGTTCTTAGGGAGTTCCATGTTTTCAAGATTTCTACAAGGATCAAAAAAGTGAGGCTCTAGTTTGGTGATGTAAAAGTTGTAAGTTTCAATTTCTTCTGTGGAATCTTCAATATGTATTCCAATTTTTATGTTACTTTTAAAAACCCTTTACTTAAAAATAGTATACACTTGTTGTCAAAACCAAAAACAAAAGTGTCATTTAAACTCTCATTTCTCAATTTATCAAAGACCTGGATAAGGAAAACATAAAAAATTTACTTAATTTACATATTTTATATTATTAATGAGTTTTTTCACTCACTTGCTAGTTTGAAATACAGGAACAAATCTGTTGCCAAACAAATTTTATTATTTACAAAAAGTCTAAAATGAGGGAAATCCCACAATAATGCACAGTATTTTATGTTATTTTTTCCCATTGCTACCAGAAAAGTTCTTGCTATTGAAAATACGTCAATGTCCTATAGCAGATCATTTTCTGAGTGGAGGCCATGATCACCCCTTATGATTTCCTAAGGTGATTTTTAAAATAAAAAGATCCTTATTCTACTAATCTAGAAATATAGCAAATCCTTAGAAATTTGATGCATTTTAATCACTGGACTTACATATTCTTCACTCTCTGACAAAGGATTGTTGTCCATTGAAGAAGTTCCATCTAATGGTTTCTCAGAAGCAGCATCAGGGAATAAGAACTTAGGGAGAAAGGAAATAACCACAATGTCAAACACATTTCCTAATTTGTTGATTCTTGCTACTCATATAGGCACTAGTTGACTTTTTAATGATTTTGCTATTAAAACAGTGAAAATGCTCTTATTGACTGGCCAGTTGGTTCTTCATTATCTCAAACTATTTCTATTTTTCTTTGAAGATACAGAGGTTTAGTGACTAGCCAATTTTAGGAATCAGAGGCTTTTCTTAATAGTAACCACTTGGTTCTGTAAACTAAACAGAATGCAAAGCCAAAATTTCTTCACTATGATTGCAGGTTCATCTGGTCATTAAAGTTTTAAGAAAGTGTTAATATTATAAAAAAGACAAAGCTATAAAAGAAAAAAATTAAATACCCATATATTCATGAGACTCAGTTGTTATATTATCTACAGGTTTTCATATATGAAATAATAAAAGTATAATATTTAAGACACGTAACTTCATTTTATGAGATTCTCCTAGAACAGTAATTCCCAAAGTGGGCGCTACCACCCCCCGGTGGGCGCTGCAGCGATCCAGGGGGGCGGTGATGACCACAGGTGCATTTGGGGGCGATGAGTAACTGCTATTAAAATGTAAAAAAAATTAATTTCCAGGGGCTGAGTAATATTTTTTCTGGAAAAGGGGCGGTAGGCCAAATAAGTTTGGGAACCACTGTCCTAGAAAGTAAGAAGCAGTCTAAACCTGTAATGACCAGTGTATCTTTTCCACATGGTCTTTGTTTATGTGTCTGTGTGTAGGATTGGTTAAAAAAGAAAAATTCAGTGCATATAACAATTGAGCTATATAACTGGAGTAACATCTCTAAGGATACATTCTTAAGAAGGGGACTTCTCTACAGAAATTTACTTTCAGCCACCGCCCCCCACCCCCCGTTTTTTTTTTTAAATCACTGTTTCTCCCCAAGGACTCTGTGGTACTGTTGACTTGTAATTCCTTTTACTATGCATACTTTGCCACATATTACAGAACATATTCAACAGATTTTTAGAAACAGAGGAACTACGGTGTGCCAACCCCACTAACTCGGCACATTTACCAACAATATCCTATTCTCATATCACTGTGTGAGCTAAGTAACACTGCCCATGTCTTAGAGACATAGAAAATCTGGCCAAGAGTATTGTTCAGATTAATGACAGTGATAAGATTAACATGAAGTTTACAAGACCAGTCTTCTTTTCATTGTACTACTCTTGAAAGTTTTTCCCAAAACTGTCTTAATGCACAAATTGCCAGAAGTATGATTCTAACGACAATTAAGTGAAGAATATGGACCAAAGGCCTATTTTATGCCAGGCAAAGTAACAGAAGGTCCTTTAACACTCACAACAATCTCACAAGGTTTTATCAGCCTCATTTACAGATGAGGAAACTGAAGTCAAATGGGTGTTCAAATCACAAAGTCAGGCTCCCAGGCTGGGCCTGTTCCACCACACTATACCTAAGAGACACCCAGGCCCTCTTACTATGCACTACAATATAAGCTTTCTCTGTGAAAGAAATTAGATGGAGTTCAAGCGTCCCTCTGTGTGAAGCCTTCCCTGACTGCCACTGCCCAGAGACGAGGCACCCCTGCTGCGCTCTCACAGCCCCTCTGCCAGACTTCTCAAACGGAACACGTATTGTAAGTATTGTTTACTTTCCTTTTTCCCAGACACCAGTGAAAACACTCTGAATGTGGGGACTTTGTTTTACTCATTTTATATTCCCAATCCAGTGCCCGCCACACAGAAAGGACTGAAGATATAATGAATAAATGCATATGCATGTAGACATATAAAGACATTAGTGCTTACCAAGAGAATAGTGTTGAGGACATCATTATTCAGTGGTGACTCTTCTACACCTCTGTGTTTTTTTATTTTCTTCTTTGCAGTATGTACCATATTTGAAACTGATAATTTATGAATTGGAACCGGTGCTGGCTCTGTCAACTTTGACAAAGCATGAGTTATATCAGCAATTTCTAGAAGAATAGAAATGAATACAAATTATATCACCAACCTTAGCAGATCAAAGTGGTGAGTAAACTGAAGACTGTATAAAATATTTTAGTCACTCCTTTTATTAGTGTTACATGGTCTCAGAATTGTAAAATTTTAATACATGTTTACCTTCATATGCATGTATGATTGACAAAGGTGTAACACAAGTTACTTCTCCACAAGGGACTTCAAAAATAAGCCTCTAAAACCCTGCTTTTCAAAATAGCTTACATTCTTGGTGGAAAGAGCTTATTAAATGCACTTAGTGCTTTAAGCTCAGGGTATATAGTATAAGCTAGAGAGAAATGGTTAGCTATCTAGTCCAGCAACACTTGCTTTTCCAACTTAATTCAAGTAAGAAAATAGATAAATAACTGCTAGAAACATACCTAAGAAAAGGAGTTTCACATTTGAAAATAACTTAATAAAAAAAGGTAGGTTACCTCTCCCTTCTTCCTCAAATGTGGATCGTCCAAGAATCTCATCAGTTGATTCCTTCCGACGGCAAACTTTAAAAAATTCAGTGACAAAATCACCTACAGAGAAAAAAAAGTTATTAATTTTTGACACTTAACAAAGAAATCAGTCCTATAAATTAAAGTACATGCGTTTTCACAAAGCTATTAACTAAGATATGGAAAAAAATTTCAAAAAACATTCAGTATTTCCAACTCAAGACAAAAATTAATCCAATTTCAAAGGAAACCTGGCTCTTCTTTTTTCTCCATATCCCAGGACAGTAAATTTTTTTCCTTAGAATTCCTTCTAGAATAAAAGGAAAGAAACCGTACCTAATAATATTAAGCCCTTGCTCTGTGCCTGAATAAGACAAAGAGTAGCTATTCTCATTAAGCTGTACTAGTAACAAGAATATTATCCTATGTATACAGTGGTCTTTGTTCCCTAACTGCCACCCTATTGGAATTCGGAATCCATTAAAAAAATAAAAATTTAAAAAAATTTACAAGACTTAAATAGTCCTAGCTGGTTTGGCTCAGTGGATAGAGTGTCGGCCTGCAGACTAAAGGGTCCCGGGTTCAATTCCAATCAAGGGCACATGCGCCTGGGTTGCCGGCTCAATCCCCAGTAGGGGGCGTGCAGGAGGCAGCTGATCAATGATTCTCTCTCATCATTGATGTTTCTGTCTCTCTCCCTTCCTCTCTGAAGTCAATAAAAATATATTTAAAAAAGAGACTTAAATGTAAGGCATGAAACTATAAAAGTCTTAGAAGAAAACATAGGTAGTAAAATTTCAGACATCTCACATAGCAGAATTTTTGCCAATACATCTCCTAGGGAAAAAGAAAACTAAGGAGAAAATAAACTAATGGGACTATCAAAATAAAAAGCTTCTGCACAGCAAAAGAAACCAACTTCAAAATGAAAAGGGAACCTACTATATGGGAGAACATATTTGCCAGTGATACATCTGGTAAGGGGTTAATATCCAAAATATATAAAGAACACATATAACTCAACAAAAGCAAGATGAACAATCCAATTAAAAAATGGGCAGAAGACCTGAATAGACATTTCTCCAAAGAGGGCATACAAATGGCCAAGAGACATATGAAAAAATGCTCGAAGTCACTAATCATCAGAGAAATGCAAATTAAAACCACAATGAGATGTCACCTCACACCTATCAGAATGGCTATCATCAAAAAATCAACAAACAAGTGCTGGCGAGGTTGTGGAGAAAAGGGAACCCTAGTGCACTGCTGGTGGAATGCAGACTCTTGCAGCTACTGTGGAAAAGAGTATGGAGTTTCCTCAAAAAATTAAAAATGGAACTTCTGTTTGACCTAGTGATCCCACTTCTGGGATATCTTAAAAACCCTGAAACACCTATCAGAAAGAATATATGCACCCCTATGTTCATAGCAGCATTATTTACAATAGCAAAGATTTGGAAACAGCCCATCAGTAGATGAATGGATAAAAAAAGCTATGGGACATTTACACAATGGAATACTATGCAGCTATAAAAAAGAGGGATCTCTTACCCTTTGGGACAGCATATTATGCTAAGTGAAATGAGCCAATCTGAGAAAGACAAATATCCCATGATCTCACTTATTTGTGGAATCTAATGAACAGAGTGAATTGACCAACAAAATAAGACCAGAAGCATGGAGGCATGGAACAGACTGACATACCTTGATGTGTGGAGAGGGGGACAAGAAGAGATAAGCCAAAGAACTTATATACTTATATGCATAGTCAATGGACATGAACAATAGCGTGTGAAGACCTGGGGGGGTGGGTAGGGACTAAAATCGTAAAAATCAATGCTCTTTCCATCATATACAACAGGTTGGAAGGCATAGCAAAAGGCAAAAAGGGCTCCAATAACTAGAATGGAAGATGCAGACTATGCCACAGGAGGAAAACCAGGAAGTGACATAAATACATTTTAAGACTAAAACTCAGATCATGAGAAAATATCAGATAATTCTGAGATGTGACTGGTTAAAACTAAAATACTCTGTTAGTGCTATTCAAGAGTAACTAGAAGAATTCACTACTGTTAGCAAAGATTTTTAATAATTGATTGAGAGAGAGAGAGAGAGAGAGAGAGAGAGAGAGAGAGAGATATTAGAGTGAGAGAGAAGTGGCCCCTGCTCCGCTATACACAGCCCGACCAGGGATGGAACCCGCAATCTGGGTATGTGCCCTGACAAGGAATTAAACCCACTACCTTTTGGTATATGAGACAATTTAGCAGATCTACAAAGCACTTCAACAAATGTAAAACAAAAAAATATTTTTTGGACAGATAAAATAAAGTATAAAGAATGAGTTCAGTGTTCCTGATCTGGAAGACAGGCAGACTGGTGGTATTTCAGGAAAGGAAGATAATACATCTTACCTAGCAAACACTGAGGATTATCAGCTTTTCGAACTCTAACAGACCAATGGGGAGCCTGAAGAGGATCCAAATCACTAAAATGTAAAACAATAAACATAAGATCCTAATTATGATCATCTGTAATACTCATGAATTTATCAAAATGCAGTCTAATAAAAGCATTACACAGAAGGATAAGCTATACGTTTTGCTTCCCTTAAACTTACTATTATTCTGAGGCCATTTGGATGAGTTAAAAAAAAATCTTAAGAAACCAAAGTGCTTGGAGAAAAAGAACCAAAGGAAATAACAAAAAAATTTTTAAAAAGTGGTCAATGCACATTGATAATCTAATGAAATTACATTAGGAAATATAAAAAAGGAACGAGAAATAACTAAGTATGCATTTTAAAAATATATATTATCATTCAAACAGCAAATCATTATGTTGCACACCTGAAATTAATACAATGTTATGTCAATTATAACTCAATTATTAAAAAAAGGATACACCCAAAAATACTAACTGGCTGTTTTATAAGTAATGCGATTCTAGGTAGTGTTTACTTTTTTCTTTATACCCATCTTAATTATCTGATTAAGAAAGCTCATGTTATTTTCACCAGTAGCAAATACAACACATTTGTTTTAATTATGAAAAGAAAAAGTGTCTTATTTCTCCTGTTCTGCATCAGGAATGAGAGTGTACTAAAACTGCGTTCCTCTTTCTCCACATTCTTCCTAGATAGATAATGCTTGCTGTAATTTTCAAGTCATTTCCATTGGTAAGGAGTATATGACATGGATGTTATTTATGACATTTAAAGATCAAATATTATTTCCACACTTTCTGATGATGACCATCCTTTCAAATCACTTCATGAAATGCTTCTAATCAGCTAAGAAAAGTTTAACAGAATTATGTACTAAATCCCAACTGATTAGATATATCTTTGCTAAAACTGAATAAGACTGAGATTGTTCATTATCTCTGAACTAAGGATCATATCCCTAAAGTCAGCAGCTTAAAAACACATCTTTAATACATATTAATCAGTCTTAAGAGTGATATTTAAAAAATAGAAAAATCAACCTTATCAGAAACTGATATAAAGAAAAAAGGAAAATTGCTAACCATTGGCAGTTAATTTATTCTACTGAAATGTTTGAGTCTCAATGCATAACTCTTAACATACTTACGAATAAACATCATTATCCACAATGATACCTTCAGTCAGGTGAGGCCATGTAGTTGCTAAGTGGAGTTCACTAAAAATAAACAAAACATAAGATATATCCAAAAGCTTTAATGTGTGTGTGTGTATACATATGTGTGTGTGTGTGTATATCTTCTAACTCTAGAAATGTATCCTAAGTAAATAACCAGAGATATACATACAAGTATGTTAAAAGTGGTATTATTTATAACACAATAAAAATGGAAACAACTAGTTTAGTGAATGGTAGCACACCCATATGAAGTAAATGTCTTTGCAGACATTAAAAAATCGTACTATACATAACAGCCAAATGTCTATCAGTTGATGGGTAAATAAAATGTGGTATATCCACACAATGGCAATGTTATATAGCCACGAAAAACAATGAAGTAGTGATTCATGTTATAATATGGATTAAAGGCGTGGTGCACGAAAATTCGTGCACTTGGGGGGGGGGGTCCCTCAGCCCGGCCTGCGCCCTCTCACAGTCCGGGAGCCCTCAGGGGATGTCCTACAGATGGCCTCACTCTGCGAGAGGCGACCGAGTGGCCAGTGCAGCCCCGCCCCCTTCCCCATCGTCCCTCCGCCGCCACTGGTCACTGCCACTTCCCTCCCCCATCACCATCCCCTCCCTCTGTCCGCTGGCATGCAAATTGGCCAGCCTGGCGCCACCTGCTCGCCGGCCCTGCCCCTCGCCCACTGGTTGTTCCGCCATTCAGTCTATTTGCATATTACACTTTTATTATATAGGATTAACCTAAAAAACATTATGCTCCCTGGCCCCGGTGTGGTTCAGTGGTAGAGTGTTGGACCTCACACTGAAAGGTTGAGGGTTAGATTCCCGGTCAAAAGCATGTTCCTGGGTTGCAGGTTTGTTCCCCACCCCAGTTAGTGCATGGGTTGCAGACTCTCTCTCTCCCCACTACCTTCCACTATCTCTAAAAAAACAAAACAAAAACAAACAAAAACCAAAAAACAAAAACATAAAAACAATGGAAAAATATTCTCAGGTGAGAATTAACCAAAATGAACAAACAAAAACACACACATTATGCTAAGTGAAGGAAACCAGACATGAAGGAGAACATATTGTATACTGCAATTTATATAAAATGTCCTGAATGGGAAAATTCATAGAAACAGAGAGTAGCACTTTCCTATAGCTGGAGAGCCTGGGAAGATTAGGAGGGATGGCAGCTAAGAAGTGAGGTGTTTCTTTTTGGGGTGATAAAAGGTTTTGGGATTAGATAGTGATGATGGTTGTACAACTCTGTAAATACTAAAAACCAGTCCTAGCTGGTTTGGCTCAGTGGATAGAGCATCGGCCTGAGGACTGAAGGGTCCCAGGTTTGATTCCGGTCAAGGGCATGTACCTGGGTTGCAGGCACATCCCCAGTAGGGGGCGTGCAAGAGGCAGCTGAATAGATGTTTCTCATTGATGTTTCTAACTCGCTATCCCTCTCCCTCTCCCTTCCTCTTTGTAAAAAAAATCAATAAATATATTTAAAAAAAACCCCAAACCACTAAATTGTACTTATTTATTTGTTTGTTGGTTTATTTATTGTTAATCCTCACCTGAAGACATTTTTTTCCATTGATTTTCAGAGAAAGTGGAGGGGAGGGAAGAGGGAAGGGCAGAGGAGAGAAGGAGGGGAAGCGAGAAGGTGAGAGGAAGAGAGAATGACATCATCGATTGGCTGCCTCCCACACATTCCCTGACCTGGGCTGGGGCTCAAACCTGCCACTTCAGTATGTGCTCTTGACCGGAAGCGAACACTAGACCCGTTGGTAAGCAGGCCAATACTCTAACCACTGAACCATGCTGACCAGAGTTGAATTGTACACTTTTAACTGGTGAATTCCATGGTACATGAATTACATGCCAATTTTGGGGGGAAAAAAGTTATATATGAGGGTTGGCAAAGTTCTTCTGCAAAGGATCAAAGAGTAAATATTTTAGCTGTTGTGAGCCATGTGGTCTATGTTATATTTTTGGTTGTTTTTTCTTTTAAAACCTTTTAAAATGTAAAAACCATTCTTGGCTCTTTGGCTATAGAAAAGCAGGCAACTGGCCAGATTTGATCCACAGGTCATATAGTTTGGGGATCTCTTATAAATGAATATTAAGTTTCAAAAAATGTTCATGTAAAATTATAAAATAAAAAAAGCAAGCCACAAAAAATATAGAGGATGACAAACATTTATAAAATATCTATATATATAAATGCCTAAGTGACCATTATGCCCTGATGACTGGATGATCAGCCAGTAGCTATGATGCACACTGACCATCAGGGGTTAGACACTCAATGCAGGAGCTGCCCCTTGGTGGTCAGTGTGCTCCCACAGCCAACCTCCCATGGCTGGCCAACCTCCTGCGGTGTCTTCCCCTCTACCCCACCTCCCCACCCACCCCCCCACCACTGGCCAGCCCTGATTGGGACTAGGCAAGATGGCCCCTATAGGCCCACTTGTCGGCCAGGACCCCCCACCCGTGCATGAATTCGTGCACCGGGCCTCTAGCATAAATATATTGTGCAAAAGATAAGTTAACATAGCAGGCTTAATAGGACTACTTGCAAGGCTGGCCCTTGGCTTGATATCTTGGAACTTCAGAAGGGTTCCTACCATTTCCTGATAAAAGTGGCTCACTGTGCCTAAACTACTTATGCAAACAATATGATTTAAGTTGAATACCCGCTTTCTTTCTTTTTTTAAATATATTTTATTGATTTTTTACAGAGAGGAAGGGAGAGGGATAGAGAGTTAGAAACATCGATGAGAGAGAAACATCAATCAGCTGTCTCCTGCATACCCACTACTGGTGATGTGCCCGTAACCAAGGTACATGCCCTTGACCAGAATCAAACCTGGGACCCTTCAGTCCGCAGGCCGATGCTCTATCCATTGAGCCAAACCGGTTAGGGCCCTCCTTTCTTTTTGATATATTTTAGGTAGAGGGTGCCTACGTGACCAGCCCCAGATAAAAACCCCAAGCATTGCCCTGGCTGGGTGGCTCAGTTGGTTAGAGCATAGTCCCATACACCAAAAGGCTGCAGTTTTGATTCCTAGTCAGGGCACATACCTAGATTGCAGGTAGTATTCCTAGTTGGGGCACATATGGAAGGCAACTGATTGATGTCTCCCTTGCACATCGATGTTTCTCTCTCTCTCCCCTCCCCCCCCAAATCAATAAAAAATATAAAAACATAACAAAACAACAACCATAACCCTGGGTCAGGATAAAAGAACAACAAACAAACCCTAAGCATTGAGCCTCTAATGAGCTTCCCTGGTAGATAGCCTTTCACACATCACAATGCATTGCTGGGAGAATTAAGTGTATCCTGCATGACTACACTGGGAGAGGAAGCTTGTGCCTAGTTTGCTCTGGATCTCACCCTATGTGCCTTTTTCCTTTGATTTTTTCATTGTATTCTTTTGCTGTAATAAATCATAGCCACAAGCTCAACTGTTGAGTTCCGTGAGTCCTCCTAACAAATCACTGACCTGAGGGTAGTCTTGCAGACCCTTGTTGCACATGCATTTATATACACCAAATTCACACATAGACAAAGTGGCTGGAAGAACACATATCAAGCTGTAATTAGTGATCTACGAGTGGTGGGATTATGAATTTAGTGAATTTTTTTTTTTACTGTCTAGATTCTAAATTCACTTATGTTTGGGGACTACAGAAACCAAAAAGAGCCAATTACATTAATTCGCTGATCTTTGGTGGTGCTTGACTAATTGGCAACTCCAGCCGGAGACTCGGAATCCACAAGTACAGTTTAGAATTCACTGTGAAAGCAGGGCCAGCTCTCCACAATAATGCAGTGTAACTTCAGTTATGAACTGAGCAACTAGACACCCTTGGTTCAAGCCTATTTTCCAACTCCCAACCTATAATGGTTCCAATTAAACGTTTAAGTTACCAAATATCTTTCCAATAAAGATGATTAGAGTTTAAAACTCTAAGCTCCTGAGTGATTTTAGGTATTAACCTCAGATTCAGTTCCTAAGCTTTTATCACTATGTCCTCTTCTCTCCTTCTAACTATAGAACAGTTTCTTTGACAAGAAGAAAAGACACTAAAAAAGCCTCTTCATTTCCTCTTCCACTGCAAAAGATTCCTTTTTAAAAGCATAGCGCCCACAACATTTCTAATCACCGTTTGACTTAACTGGTCTTCCATATGTATCACCTTACCCCCAATTTATTTGTGCATACTTCTTTAATCATTTGTTTCTCTACTGACTCCTTATCACATATAAAATTAGAAAGAAATATTTAATAACTAATTATTTCAAATTTCTACTACCAGGTCAATTTTATTCTTTCCACCTAAATTTTCATTAAGCAAAATTCAAATGAATGAGTCAGTTGGAGGGTGATAAATCTATCTGTAAGTCACCATATACAATTTCTCTTGTTTGCTGTATTCTAGCCATGCTGGCCATCTTGCATTTCTTCCAATAAACAAACTAAACTCTTTCCTACATCAAGACCCCTTGCACAGGCTCTTCCTTCCACCTGGAATGGTCGTTCTCTAACTCTTTGCCTGTATAAGTCCTCCCCTAACTGAGACTAAAGTTAAATATACTTCCTTTGAGAACACTTTCCTGATGGTGCCCCAATCTAAACTAGCTCCTAATTTTACTGTCATTACAGCCTGTACTCTTCCTTCAATTATCCCTCAACTTGTATGTTTATGTAGGTGATTATTTCAAGTCTATTTCCTTCACTAGACTGTAAATACCAAGAAGGCAGATACTTTTATTAACTTCTGTATCTTCCTCATTTAGCAATGTGCCCAGCTCATGTAATAAAACAATGTTAATTACAAAAGATACTCACTTTTTCTTCTCCTGAGTAATTTTTAAAGTATTGTTATTTCTAACTCTATGTAAGATTATTAAGAATGTACATATACATGTGTATATATTTTTTCATTAACCAAATAGTTTAACTTAACAAATAAGATAGCTTCTAAATCACCATTGTTTATATTTTCCAAATATTTTATTACTGGTGATTAAACTTTCCAAGCCCCACATTTTCTTGTGAAACAACTTTTTCTTAAACTTCAGTAGCTCTTTTAGAAAAGCAGGTGGGTAACCTAAGAGGTTACCCCTTATGCCTTAAGTCTTAAACTTAAGTCTTAATTTATACATTTTGAAAAAGTAGTCAGGAAAAATGTAAATGTTAATTCTGGGTGAAAGATACATGAAAGTTTGTTACATATAACAGTCACAATCTGTTTTCAATATTTCAAATGTTTCCCAAAAAGTAGACCAAGAATCACTTCTATAAGAAAAATCAATAAATGGTATTATATACATTTTATACATTATTTTAAAGCTTCTTATTACTTAAGTTACAGAGAGAGAAAAAAAGAAGAACAGATTGTTAGTCATAGGTCTGAATCCAGTACTATATTCATTGCAGGAGGCTACATTATTAAAAAGCACAGTAAAATCAGTATTAATATAATTTTTAAAGTGAAGTCCCATAAATCAAATAGATTGAAATTCTCACCTTATAGGATCTTCACAGGCACCAAAAGGTAGCTTGCCAAACTCCAAACCTCCAACTTCCCCTCCTACAAGGGCATCTATATCTAAACAAAATAAACGTTTTTCCAGTATTGAGCAAAAAATAGAGAGAAGAATTAGTTAGGTTAGCCCTTTGGAAGATTATAGATTTAAAAATGCCTACTTCGCCCTAACCGGTTTGGCTCAGTGGATAGAGCGTCAGCCTGCGGACTGAAGGGTCCCAGGTTCGATGTACCTTGGTTGCAGGCACATCCCCAATAGGGGGTGTGCAGGAGGCAGCTGAGTGATGTTTCTCTCTCATCGATGTTTCTA